GTAACTCCCTGCTGTCCTGTGAGCTGGGGAGATTGGAAGGATGTGCAGAGAAGGGCAGAAGGAGGGGGCACACAGGGAGGGAGATGGGGCTTCAGACTAATGAGAGAAATATTCGACAGACAGCATAAAGAAGAGCACCTGGAAGACAGAAACAAAGGAGCAACCAAAGAATATATTTTGGAATCAAAGAAATAGATTGTGTTGGTTGAACTTGCATCTAGAGAAAACCAGAGACAACTTTATAGGGAGCCCAGGGCTAGCAAAAGAGAGAAGATGGAACTCCCTTCCTGTCCTCACACCTGCCCTGGGTTCCAGTCACCCATCTTTCTGCAAGGCAGACTGGGATAGCCAGGTAGCTATGGAGGAAATGAAATATCTGTCCAAGGCTCATGGTTCACCAAGAAGACAAGCTTTCAACTACAGATGTTAAGTACTGTGATTTGAGTGAGGCATGAGCCAGGCCAGTGACTAGAAAGAGCTTGTATCTAATGTAAATTTAGAATGACAAAGCAGAGTGGAATGGTAGGTGGGGTGGGGAGAGGGAGGGAGAGAATGAGTATAAATTATCTCTGGAGGTAATAGCTGACTGTCTGTGGGAATATTGTGACTCAAAGCTCAGAGACCAGGAAGCACAGGGAGACACACTCCCGAGGATGCAGAGGTCTCCCAATGGCCATGGGCTGGCCCATCAGTGACTCCTGCCTGGCCCAGGCCTGGCAGGCCTGGCCTTGACTTGCTGCTGGAGGGAGGCCTGGCGTGATTTATGAGATGAGCTGGTGGGATGTTCTTGGCAAGCCAAAACTGTAAACGTGCAATACTTTATCTCCCGCAGCAATGTTTTAAGAAAAGGAAAGATGGAAAATGTCTTTGTGAAACAGAACCCCAGCCTCTGGTCAAGGAGAGTGGCCTCTCTCTGGAGCTACATCAAAGACACAGCTCTGTCTGCCCCCTGGGTCCTCTGCAGAGCCTGCCCTGGGGGCACAGCAGTTTGCTAGGAGCCAAGGAGAGAAAGAAGGAAACCACTGCTAGTGATTCTCCTATCAGGAGGCAGAGCTGGGCCGGCTGGGGGATCCACCACAGCCTCCCCACCTTCCCTTCCTGGAGCTTCTTCACCATCCAGATAAGATCCAGGTACTTCAGTGCAGCTGAAACCTGGAAGAGTCTCACATACAAGCACTGGACAGGTGGTTCAGGCAACTGACCTACAGTCTACAACTAGAGAGCTACGGGGCGTGGAGAAGGACACTTCTCTCCCCCGTATTCTTTTCCTCAAAAAAATGAAAGAGTAAGAAATGAATGAACAGTGTTCTTAAGAACCATAGTGACCACAGAAAATAGCAGAGTAGGTTTTTCAATTTCAAGAGGAAAACCAAAGTCTCGTAAGCAAGAGAATTATATTTGGAATTAAATGGAAATCCCACCCTGCTGTACATGACCTTCTAGCTGGTCACACTCCTGTGAATTAGACCAGCCTAGCTGAAAGAAGAAACACAAGCCTTTGAGTCTGATTGGGGAAGTTTGTCTCATCCTCAAGACCTTCTCCAAGAGTCTATAAGAAGAAACAACCTGTTCCTAAATTTCCAGAGCATGTTGCAGCTTCATCCAAGATTTTTCGCCCTTTCTGTCTCATCCATGGGGATGCTTCATTGAAAAAAAAGGACCTGAGACAAGGATGGCAGGAGCCCACACGGAAACTATGTAAATTAGAAAAAGGCAGTCCTTCTCCAGGAAGAGCAAGTTTCAACCCTCATTTAATTACTTACCTGGATGCGCCCATACCACCTATACAAACTGCACAACTGTACCCAAAATGTAAAGCTGAGCTTGCAGGAGTTGCTCAAAATCTATATGTCAGTTGTAATGGTACGACACTAGGTGTCACAGGCCAGGTTCCCCAGGAAGGTGACTCAGAGCTGAAGACCTGAATTGAGGGAAACACTCCCAAGATCAATACCTATTAGGGAGGGAAGAAAGGAAATCCGGACAGAAGGGGAAATTGGACCACAGAATAGTTGCAATAAACCCCTCTGCCCATCCTGTGGCTGGGACATTACTTATCTGTCTAGAATTTGGAAAGGCCAGATCTCTATACACCCTATATAGACCAATCATTGAGATGGGTTATAGTGAATTCTTTTTTTTTTTTTTTAATATTTTTAGTTGTAGGTGGACACAATGCCTTTATTTTATTTATTTATTTTTATGTGGTGCTGAGGATCAAACTCAGTGCTTCTGATACGTGTGAGGCAAACACCCTAATCACTGAACTACCATAGTGAATTCTTATGATTTCATGATGCCTCAGTGTTTATTTTGAACATAGGTTGAACTTCCTCATACCAGAAGCAGGGATCAATCAGCCTTAGACCCAGTGTTCTGTTCTCCACCTTCTCCCAATTCCTAAAGTAATCAAGGCAGCTAGCTGTGCTATACAAGTGCCCTCTAGAGACCACCTCCCTATGGGACAGCTATATACAAACTGATTCACCCCACGGATCCCTACACCTGTGTGGACTGTGCAAATATGACACAGAAACCACCTCTCAATCAAACTGCCAATCCATGGAACACATGTCCACTTGCTATAAATCCACTGTTAAAATTCTTCATGAGAAGCCTGTTTGAATAATGCCCTGGACACCCCCAATAAAGGTATTGGCCCACAGGTGATCTTTCTCTCTCTTCCTCTCTCTAGCTCCCCCATGCTGGTTGAATTCATGTGTCCCAGACAGCTCCCACCTTCCCCTTGGCCCTGCAAGATGCACCGCCCTCTTCTCTCTGGAATCTGCAATAAAACTGCATCTGTTATTTCATGTGTCTTGTTGTGCCACCTCCTCTGTGTCTTACCTGACTGAAACACCCAAACTCCCTGGTCAGTGCTCTCCTAGACAGTGGCTATGTTGGTAGGAATAAACTGGACACAGATCAGACGAAAGCCAAAATGGTGTCCTCCAGCATAAACAAGTTTCCTGTGAGAAGGTCACCTGGTCACAGCTTGAACACCTGAGCATCAGGCCATTCTCCAGGATAAAGAGTGTCCCGTGAAAGTCATTTTATACACTGGTTGCATCTGGGGGTGGGGGGGGAATCACACTTCAGTTGGTGGTTCTGGATGGCCCAGTATAGAATCCACTATGTTAATGAGCCCATCATTTAACAAACATGTTCTGTGCAGATATCTCCCTTTGGCCCTTCCAGATCCACTCTCTACCTTTCTCCCCTGGGCCTTCTGCTCTGGGAGGCTGACCTGTAAAATGACATCAGCAGGCTCCTATGCCCTCCAACTCCCACTGGGGTTTGGCCAATGGATCCCCTGGCAGGAGATCACAGAAGGGAGGAGAGTGAGGTCAGAGTGCTTGTTCTCTTGGTTCTCTCTGTGCAAGGTCACCTTGGGTTGGATCTTCCTCCATTTGAAGGTCAAAGCTCCTATCCAAAGCCCTCTGCACAGACCACTGATTGTTTTCTTCCATGTTCTGCCAACTACTCCCTCTTCTTACTCTTCTAATTAGGATCTACGCAGGTCGGTCTCCCCTCCCTATTACTAATGCCAGGATCCTGTTGATCTGTGAGCCATCTCTAAACTCTGCCACACCTTTGTAAAGAGTCCTCTAGGTAGCCCTCTTTGAATTATCCTAATTTGAGTATACTTCCTTAAATTATCCTAATTTGGTTTCCTCTAGGATCCAAATACATACTTTGGGACATTTTATTTCCTTTTATTTATTTATTTATTTTGTGTGTGTGTGTGTGTGGTGCTGGAACCCAGGACCCTGTGCATGCGAGACAAGCACTCAACCAACTGACCTCTATCCCCAGCCTCCCTCTTTTCCCTTCTACCACCATGGGAATCAGATGTTCTTATGCCCACTTTAGATATAAGGAAACAGAGGTTCAGAAATGTCACGTGACTCCCTCATTCTTGGTTAGCAAAGATGGCCCTGGTCAGTTGGCTAGGCCCCATGTTTACCTCACCATAACATTTTAACATTCCCTTCAGATTATTCTTCCTCTCTATCACAGCTCAGGGAGGGGAGGAAGAGGCAGAGTCATGGAGTTTGAGACAGAGTATTCTACAACTCCATGTGAAGGGGAAGGTGGTACGTGGAGCACCCACACAGGACTGTGTCTTTAATTTCCATCCTAGGATGGGGGGGAAAAAGGATTGAGAGATATTTTCTGATTCTTTCCCAAGCCAGCCTCTGGAAACAATTTTTTTTCTCCAAATTCCCTCTCTCAATTAAGAAATTAAGCTATTTTTAGAATCCAGATCCATCTTAATCAGCTGCCTGTGGGCTGGTCACATGACCTTGGGGTCTTTGGTTTCTTCATCTGCATAAAGTAAGATGGGTTAACTACATGCATCCCAAGGCCCCTTCCAAGGAGTTTCTATGAGCTCCTTGTTCTTTCTGCTCTTCTAATCCTAAAAACAGACAACAGCCATGTGGATAAACCCTCATCCCTGGGAAAAAGAGGAAGGAGCTCAGCTGGTGCTGTGCACAAAGACTCACTTGTTAGCTCTGAAGGGCTCTTCTAAGGAGCTTGTGCAGCCCTGATTAAAAGCAGGGTGGCCGTTGAGTCCAAATAAGAAAGCAAAGATACCAGTTCAGTTTGCATTGCTCCCAAAGACCCTGGATAGAGCAAATTCCTGGACTCTCACTTGCATCTGGGGTGGAGTCTCTGTTTTCCTGATCAAAAGCAGATGGATTCTCTTCAGGCAAAATACCTTTTGTCCTGATTTGCCTACATGGACCTCTGTTACTGAATCATCAACCCAAGGACCAGATGAGAACAGGTTCCATTCAGACGCTGCCACCACTCTGCAGAACCCTCCCTAGCTGAAGAGCCACCACCACTGCTTCTTCTTTCCTGGTCCATGCTCCCATTCCTACACTGTGAAGTAGGAATTCACAAGTCCATACTTACTAATTAAGGGTAAGGGTAAGGAAGGGTAAGGAGAATAGGACATGAGACAAGGAAGAATGAGAAGCAAAAGGAACACCTTACCCAGCTGGCAATACTTTAATATACTGCAAAGACGCTCAAAGAGTCACTCCATCATACTGGACATCTCCACATGTGATGTATAGGAAAAAAAATAGACCCATGGAAAAAGAAAACAGGATTTATCTGCAGACACCCTCCCATTTCCTCGTTTCCACTGGCTAAAGTTCACCCTGGAGGAGTTCTCAGTCCTCCTCTTCTGGGTTCCATCATCTTGCCCTTCAAAAGTCACTGAGGAAGCCAGACCTCCAACCAGAAAGGTGACACTGCCTCCAACCTGGAAGAAGTGGGAAGAGTCGAAGTGCAGAATTTAGTTGCTCTGCCTTCTACGGTAGAATTGTGTCAGCTCACCTTGAACTTGTCACCCTGGTAGAAATAGGCAACTAAGTGTCTGGGAGAGAGTAAAACTGAGTAAAGCCAAGGAAGTACAAAAACCCTATCTGGCTATGAGGGGGTAAGAGGGAAAGGTATACCAGAGAAAAGCTCAGGCACCTTTATTCAATAAATGTTTCCCAAGACACTGGATACAGAGATGAGACAAATTTCCTGCTTTCAAGGAACACACTCTACTGGGGAGACAGACTTAGACAGGCTATTATAAGTAATTGTTGCAAAGATCATTGTGAATGATTATACTTACCTCCCTCACTTTATTTATAGGAAAATGAAACCTAGACTTAACAAATTTGCTTAGAGGGTCTGTGGCAAAAAAACACATAGAAAACCTAAGATGTTAATTTCCAAGTCAATGCTTAATTTACTGCCCCTCTCTACAGGCACAGAGTGGTTTAGAGCTTACTATGTTCTGAAACAAGAGTACTTTAAAAAGGTGCCGCAGTACCAGGGCCTGGCCCAAGACACATTGCTTAACTCTGTACAAATTTCCCTGTAGATCAAAATGACATGTCAATAATGAGGTTGGGGGTGGATGGGGAGATAATGTCAGGGAACTCTTTGTGAAGACAACCTATTTGTTAAGAGGAGCCAAGAGGGATCAGTTTAATTGAAGTTAAAGATATTTTAAGGAAGGTAAGAGCTTAGCTGGGGGTTCAGCCAAGAGGTTTTGTTCTGCCTTTGAAAATGAGAAGAGTTGAATAGGATCTGCATGGATAAGCTGATAAAAAGCCCTTTGAAGTGGACAGGGATCTTTTTATAGCCTCAGAATAACTTAGCCCGGGGTGAGGGGTGAAGGAAGAGAGCTACTCATTTACAAGCTGAAGTAGTAAATCCCTCCTGCTGGATTTCTTCTGGCTCAGCCATGAAGAAAGATTGGCCTGGTGTCCTTGTCTATCTGAGAGAAGTCAAATCTGGCTGTCCTTCACACAGAAAGTGCAGACAAAACGACCCAGGGGAAAGCTCTAGAACCCTGGTTAGTAGACATTAGAAAGAAAGGTATGGAGCACAGACTCTTGGCCTCCGTACTCCATTCCAGCTCACACACCATCAAGCCCCCCACATGGGTCATGGGTTAATCTTTAAAAGAATGAAGGAGAGTTTACTCCAACTTCTTGTCAATAAATAATAGCTATAAAGATTATTCTTATGGATTGTTTACTTTGTGCCTGATGCTACACATGCAATACCTCATTTATTCCTTTGAACAACACTAAGTGGTGGGTGTTATTTTAATTCCCATTCTGCATCCACAAAACTGAAGCTCATTTTTGCACGAGTAAGTTTAAGCAAATCTTTCAAGCTTAGCATATCACAGACCAGAACCTAGATAGATAAAATTGTTAGAAGGTCAATGCTGAGGTGGCTTGAGGAGGTCACCTCTGGTGGCAAGCCTCAGGAAGTAAAGCTTCACTCCCATATCACCTGTCCTTTGTCATGAACAACTAAACAACATTGTCTGATCTTCCACTCACCAATAGCTCAGCATCTCCTTTTAGACATGAGAGCATTTGACCAAAGACTTAAGACTCACCTTTCTGTAGACTCCTGGGGTCCTGTGTTACCCTGCATTTGAAGAGAAAAAGGATATCAAGAAAAGGAGCCACAGTGGTAAGTATGTCCCAGGAACAAGGTACCCCAGTGGTATTCGAACTGAAAAGTTGTCCACCTTCACTTCTAAAGAAGACAGAAATGGGGGATTTGGACCCAAGTTACTGTAGAATTGAACTCAGTTTTAAAGTATATTGTCAAGATCACAAGCTTTATCAAATCTGTCCTGCATTCCTATAAACACATCAACATCTTTTTTTTTTTGATGATTTACAAATATATTTCATCCAAACCTGTGGTCACATCGACATCTTGACAGCTGAAGCTGTGACATTGGAAAAGGCAGAGAAATCAGGAGACACTGGGTGTATTCTTAACTCCTCCCAACCTACCTGGGTCATCTCCCAAGCCCTTAATTCCTCCCAAACTCACCCTCTGGACCTCCATTCTCTCCTCTGTCAAATGAGAGGATTGGGTACAGCTGATCTCCCAGATGCCTCCATTCCTCCCATCTGAGTCTTGTATACCTCAGAGCAGCTGCCAAGGGAAACAGATCACCAAAAAGCAAAGAGAGCAGGGGAAAGTGTGGGCCCTGAAATGAACTCTAAGGAAAATCGATGGGAATTTATGTTGCACAAGTACAAGGGACTGTGTGTCCTCAATAAGCCACACATCCTTCCTAGATCCTTGAAATGTCGTGAAGACAGATGAAACACACATTCCATGATAAGGAAACCTCTCCGCCCTCTTTGAAGATGGCTCCTCCATTCACAAGCCCGACCACTGTTCCTGTCTGCCAGATAGACAAGAGTTCAGAACACACAAGTCCTTTGAGCTTCCGCCTATGAGGCGTCCACCTCTGATCCCTCCCACTGGAACCCTCCGCTAGGGAAACCCTAACACACTGTACTCATAAAAAGGTACAACTATTGCATGTACATTAAAAAAAAAGTTTAAAGAGAGACTTTATGCTAACTATGCTCATTTGATCAGTATGTATAGTATTATACAGACCTCAAATTATCTCACAGTACCCCATAGGTACGTATAATTAAAATAATAATAATTAATAAAAAAAGAAAGTAAAGCATTTGAAGGGAAAGTCCTAGTAATGGAATCTCAGAACATGTTAGAGTGGAAAGAGACCTTAGAGGTCTTTTTTTAAGTTCTGGGAATAGGGCATGTGCTAATTGGTCTGGCTCTGGCTATGAAATAAATTGCCATCATCATTATCTTATTCTCTGAAGGAGACAACCCCAGGTTAATATTTCAAAGAAGGATGAGTCACTGGAGAGGTTTAAAAGTACCTGCTAATTATTTCTTTAAAGAAAAGCCCTAACTCTGCGAGAAAGGAGTCATGCACACATCGACTGCCCATTAAGATGAAAGGGCAGCTTACCTGGGCTGCTCAGGAGACCGGGGAACAACAGGAGTGGCCCTGTTCTGCTCACAGGCTTCCCACCAGAGGCCCTTCCTGGTCACTCTTACTGACCCTGAGTCCCTGGAAGAGGAGCGGGCTTCACCTCACTTTCTTACTACCTCGCCATGATGCCAGGAGGCTCAGGGAGGGCAGACCCGCTGTAGGAAGGGCTGAGGCTCTTTGAGTTGTCGAGTCAGCCCAGGAAGGATCCTAAATTGCTCGAGTTGGGAGTTATCTGACCACCTTCTCCAATGGCTTCTAGACATGTGGCTTTGTGAGTAATCCCAACAGTTAAAACAGCAGACCAATTCCATAATAAGTTCTGGCTTTTAACATTGACTCAGTATCCTGTCCATCTGTGGGAACAATGAAGTTCATTTGATAAATTCAAAATTTTGCATACCTGGAGTTTGGTGATTTTGTGTGGTGCATCTGTGGCAGACACCTTAACTTTTTTTTTTTTTTTTTTAAACAACTGATATTTTATTTTCTTTTTATATTTATTTATTTTTTTAGTTCTCGGTGAACACAACATCTTTGTTTGTATGTGGTGCTGAGGATCGAACCCGGGCCGCACGCATGACAGGCGAGCGCGCTACCGCTTGAGCCACATCCCCAGCCCCGACACCTTAACTTCTTGAAAGAACTGCCAAGGACCCTTCAAGCCAATGCTTTCTAGGCCCTTGGGTAATTCTCTGACTTGGGAACTTAGGTTAGTTAGTATTATGGGCTGAATTGTGTCCCCTGCCCTACCAAAACTCACTGTGTTGCAGTCCTAATCCCCAATACTTCAGAATGTGAACGTATTTGGAGATAAGATTTTCAAACAGGTGACCAGGATAAACTGAGGTCTTTAGGGTGGGTTTTTGTCCAATCTGACTGCTGTCCTTACAAGAAATTTGGACACACAGAGAGACACAAGGGATGCACATACATAGAGGAAAGACCACATGAGGACAACAGGCAGCCATCTGTGGTCCAAAGAGAACAACCTCAGAAGAAACCAGCCCTACCAACACCTTGATCACAGACTCCTCGTCCAGAACCATGAGAAAATGAATTTCTATTGTATAATTCACCTAACCTGCAGGGGTTTTGTGTGTTGGTTTGTTTGTTTTGCTACAGTAGTCAAGCAGACTACTATGGTTAGTGATGTAAATTAATAAAACCAGCAGAAAAAGACCTGAGTGGCCCCCTTCCTGTGCCCTCTCCTACTGCATTTAGCCTCTTTCTAGAGTGACTGAAGGTCCAAATCTATGACTCCTGTCCTATTCTGTATTCATGGAAAACTTCAAATGATCAAGAGGGATGTAGAGATGCCAGTTCACATCTGGTCTTGCATCTTTTTTCTGGTGAGTTCACCAAAAAATATAATAATAATCTTAACTTTTTCCCTTCATCTTCTAGAAAGGGTCCTAGGTCTTTGTGTGTGTAGGTTCAGGGTAGGGTTAAAACCCCTTCTGTATATTCCAAGGTGAAGAGGGAGAGGAAAAAGAAGGCAGAAGACAGAGGAAAGAGCTGGAGGAAACAAGGAGAGTCGATAGAGAAGATGGGGAGGGGAATTCAGGAGACAGGGGAGGCCAGAGAAGGAGGAGGAGGAAGATAGAAGCTCTGCTTTCAGAGGTCTGGGTAAGCCAAAAGGTTTCCAAACCACTTGTCCACGAGGAGAAGAGGATGGGATGGGAGCTGCTGTCCAGGAGGAAGACAGCCATAGCTCAGGTACTGAGAAAAAAAGGATGGGACTCATACACCTGGGAGGACAAGAGAATGACCAGTTGCAGGAAAACATGAAGCTGTGCCTTCACCCAAGGCTGTGTCTCAAGTGAACCTCTGATGGGGCTCCCGCACAGTTGGCCAAGAACTAGTATTACCAAAGGGCTCAAGAGCCAAGAGCTTAATCCTGTGTATGTTCCTCTTGCACTTAATTCCTATCACTGCTTCCTTGTCTGGTCACACCCCTGAGGATAACACCGCTATGTCAGGGTCATGATACCTGAGTTGAGTTCCCTCTCTGCCAAATAACTGGATATGTGGCCCCTTCAGGATCGAGTCAGAGTCCCCTCACCTGTGAGCTGAAGAAGCTGGACCTGAGCGATCTACACATCACCTAACTCTCCTGTGACCTTCTGAGGTCCTCGCCCATGTGCCCATCAATCAGCTCAGCCTATGAGAACGCTGCCATCAGGGGACCCTGGGGGATGGTCAAGGAGAAGCCAAAGGAATAAGGGAGGTGTTCAGCTGAGTTTCCAGCAGGAAGAGGCTGCTTCACCAGGGCTGAGGGTGGAACACATTCCACAGGATGAGGTGGTGCTGGGACAGGGTTTGTGTCCTGCCCCCTCCTGAGGGCTCTGAACAATGGGGAAGAGGCACTGAGAAGACAGAGAGTCCCCACTTAGGTCTAGCACAAGGGTGTGAACCAGTAGAGCTGGGGACAAGGGACACAGGTTCAAGGTCTGCCCTCTCTAGATAGATAGATAGATGTGTGTGTGTGTGTGTGTGTATGTGTGTGTGTATGTGGGGGTGGGGAGGGGGTGTGTGCTGCAGCAGAAAGAAAAAAAAAAACAGATGTGGCCTTAAGCTGAGTTTCCCTTGCATAAATAGATTTTATGGTTAAAAAAAAAGGTTGAGGAGAAACAATTTTATGAAGCCAGAAGAGAAGGGAGTACAGGTGCAGAGCTCTCCATCTTCTGAAGGGCCAGCCAGCCACTCAGCACATGGTGTTTTGATCAGAAGTGGAGCTCCTGACCCTGAGGAGGTCAACACCCTTGGTCATGGCTAAGGGACGACAGCCCTGCACATGGAGAAGGAGCCCTGCCAGTGTGGCTGCCCTGGTATGGGACTCGGAGTCTGCCCTTTGACACTAAGATTAAGTGTTTGCATTTGTAAAATGGAGACAAGAAATCCTTGGTCCAACTCACCTTAGTGGCCATAGGAGGCAAGAAACACTAGATGATGGAATGGAGGGAGCGGGTGGATCTGGAAAGGCAGGAATTAGAGCATCAGAACCAGAGTCAGACTCGGGGAGTCCTCAGCGTGGACATGCAAACTGGAGCCAGGGACATGCATAAAGGAGCAAGAAGAGCAAACCCTGGGGACACCATTGGCTCCAGGATGGGCAGAGGACAAAGCACCAGAAGTGGAGACCGAGATGGAAGGAACGAGAGCCACCAAGGGCTGAAGGGAGGGAAGTGAGAGAATGATCATTTGAGCCAAGCAGACTTCTGAAGAAATGAGGCTTTTGTTCTTTTTACCTCCTCTGTGTTCCCAAAAGTACAGCGGGGGTCAGTCAGAGCAGAGAAAATGGCCACTTAGAGGAAAGAATACATGTGGCTTGCAAAGTCATTTTTTAAATTTTTGGCATCTATTGTACGTCTGCTGAGAAGCACAGGGCTCATCCATTCCACCTGGTGGTTTGCTGTGTGGCCCTGGGCATCTTACACAACTTCTCTCTGCTAGATGTGAGCCAACATTTATCCAAGTCCTGAGTGGCCTGGGTTCAGAGGGGATGAACTGAGGATCCAGTTAGTCTTGAGCAAATGACCCCAGAGGGGAATGTGTCACACCTCAGTCAGCTGGAGTCTGCGTCTCTCCCAAAGCCCAAGCTGCCTTGGAATAGGACAAGGATGTAGAAGTCCTCTTCAAAAGAATCCCACTTGCCATTTAAAAATCTTTCAGTCCAACAGCACCAAAAACAAACCCATTGCAATAGCCAGCATTAATGGAAAACCCTCTGGATGCAGACCATTGGACAGGACCTAGGGAGAGTTAAGGAAGGCACAAAATCTGGGAACCTGCCCTCCACTGTGGAGGGACAACAGACTCTTCTATGTTGACTAGCAGCCAGGCTCTGCTGTTCCTACAAATATACAAACAAAAAGCACTCAGAGCCCAAGCAGAAGTCAGCAATTCTTCAGGGATGAGAGAAGGCTTTACAAAGGAGACACCATCTGAAAGGGGACTAATGATTAGGACTTCGACTTTCAGAAGAGAAAATGTATTCTGAGCTCAGTGTAAAGCAAAACTCTGAAAACAGGAAAGTAGCATTCTATTCAAGGAATAAGTTGATGGTTTGGGACTTCATTCTTTATTCAATGCAGAGTCAAGAAACTTGTTTAAGCATATGGGGTGGTAGGATTGGTCCTGATATTTAGATAGAGTTTTCTAGCCAGGATGGGGAGTAGACTAGGAGGTAGAATTACCAAGGGAGGAGAACTCTTGAAAAACTACTATCAATTCAGAA